GTCCCCTTCCAAGACAAACTATCCTCCATCCCTGGTATACCCTTGATAACCACAGCATAAAGACGTTGCCTTATATTCTCTGGGAGAAAACACCTGATTCGCTCCATATCCCAGCCCAACCCGGAAAGCCAATAATCCTCGACACTCCTATTCAACTCGTCCGCCGGAACTGGTGTAGTAGACCAACACCATAACGGCTTATCCATCAACCACCGATCCATCCAGAAGCGTATCGACCGACCATTCCCCGGAACCCATCCAATTCCAAGTGAGACAACTTCTCTCAATCCTACTCCCACACTCCTCCAAGTTGACGACCAAGTCCCTTTTGGCATGAGCCAAGACTGTTCATGCACCGTACCCACCTTGTACTTGTTTCTTAGGACCTGTGCCCAAAGGCTCTCCTTATCATGTAGCAATCTCCACCCCACCTTGGCTAGAAGTGATTTGTTCATATGTCCCGCCATTCTTAAACCAAGACCACCTTCCTGTTTCGGTCTACACACCTTCTCCCAAGATAACAAATGTATCTTCTTTTTCTCCGGCGTATCACCCCACAAAAACGCCCGTGATAACTTATCCAAACTAGCTAGAGTAGTAGCGGGTAATAGTATAGTACTCATCGTATGTACCGGGATTGAAGCCAACACTGATCGTGTAAGCGTTAACCGCCCTGCCAAACTTAACATACGTCCCTTCCAACCTGCTAACCGCGATGAAACCCTTCCCAAGACTTCTCCAAAGGTTTCCTTATTGATTCTCTTTTGTAGAATTGGCATACCCAAGTACTTTCCCAACTCTCTTGTTGCCCCAATCCCACTTGCATCACTAATTAACCTCACCATATCCCTGCTAACATTCGAGGAGAAGAAGATTTTGGATTTCTCCATGCTAACCTTCTGCCCAGAGGCCACACAGAACTTCTCAAGAATACTTCGAATCACTTGTACTTGTGCCACCGAGGCTTCGGCGAACAAAATGATATCATTAGCGAAACAAACATGCGATAACCGAGGTCCATTCTGAGAAATCTTAATCGATTTCCACTCCCCTTGGCTGACCGCTCTAACAATGAGTTGGCATAATCTCTCAAGGCATAGAACAAATAAGTAGGGGGAGAGGGGATCCCCTTGTCTTAGACCCCTAGAAGGCGTAAACGCTTCTGTCTTCTCCCCATTGAGCAACAAACTCATCGAGGGATGCTTCACACATTCCATAATCCGCTGCGACCATTGATTAGAGAACCCAGCTACTCCCAACGTTTCCTCGAGAAAATCCCAACGTATACGATCATAGGCCTTTTCAAGATCCAATTTCAATAGCATCCAACCCTTACGTCCTTTCTTACGTTGCATGGAGTGCACTGCCTCTTGAACTACAACAATATTGTCAATACTTAATCTCCCCGGGATGAAGCTTGATTGTGCTGGCCCTATCAGCTTCGAGATCACACTCTTCATTCGCATAACCATCATTTTCGTAATGATCTTAAACAGCACATTACACAAACTCACAGGTCGAAATTGATTAATCCTCTCCGGCTTCTCTACCTTTGGCAGCAAAACAATAAGTGCATCGTTCGCCTCCGCGGGTAAAACACCCGTCTCAAAAAACTGAAGTACATACCGTACTACCGAGTCCCCAACAGTGTCCCAACATTGGTGATAAAAAACCGGTTGAAAACCATCTGGCCCAGGCGCCTTGAATTTCCCCATACTCCGTACCGCATCAACCACTTCATCCGCCGAGAACGATTTTGATAAAGCCGCCAGCTCCGCCACTGACATAGCCGTAAAACTACTAGCTGGTAATTGAGCTCTAACTGGGCTAATATCCTCCATCGAATACAAGCGTTTGTAATAATCCACAGCCAGATTCTCTAACTCCGTCTTATCCGACACCCACCGACCCTCATCATCCCTTAGCATATCGATACGGTTTCTCCGACGCCTTATGATCGTTGTAGTATGGAAAATCGAGTATTCCTATCCCCGAGCGTAATAAACTTTTCCCTCGACTTTTGAAACCAAATCATCTCTTCTTTTTCCAAAACTCCATCAAACTCGCTTAATAGATTCGCCTCCCTCTCCAATAATCCATCCGTCTGACTCACATTTAAAGCATCTTGTACGACCTTAATCTCTCCAAGTAGCTTCTCCTTACGGGTGTGAACATTCCCGAAAACTTCTTTGTTCCACTTCCGTAGCGTTCGTTGTAACTCCTTAAGAGTTTCAGACGTCGATATATTAGGGTTCCAGGAAACCGCAAGCAATTCCTTAAAGCCCTCATAACTCAGCCAAGCAGCTTCGAAACGAAAAGGACGACGTCTTGGATCATTTGCAATCGTAGGGCATAATTGCAAGTATACCGGCGTATGATCTGACGACAAGAAGGGTAAGTGAGTAACAGTAGCCTCTTGCCATCTCAGTCTCGTCCTTGCACAACATAGTACTCTATCAAGCCGCTTAGCTATGAATGTACTCTCCATTCGTCCCCTCCGCAGGTAAATTGCCCTCCTTTAAAACCCATATCAATTAAAGAGAGTTCATTAATGCATTCGCCAAACGCAAGAGAATCCGGCGATAAACGACCATTTCCTCCTGTGCGTTCATCCAGTCTTACAATGGAGTTAAAATCACCTCCAATAACCACTGGTTCCTCCAGCCCTTGAAGAATCTCTGTGAGTTCCCTCCAAAGTCCACTCCTTCGGCTCACTGTGGGGGCCGCATACACCGCCACAAGATTAACACACTCCTCCGCATTCCCCACTCTTGCGAGAATAAACTGGTTCGAAGACGCAACAACCTCCACCTGTCCCACCTTCGACCTCCACAATAACCAAATCCCACCACTCTGACCCGTAGCATCGACACGAAAGGAATGATCAAATCCTAACCTTTGACATATCCGACCAGCTCGTTCTCCCTCAGCATGCGTTTCAAACAAAGCTAAGACGTCCGTGTCAAACTTCTTTAATAGGTAACGCAAAGATCTTCGAAAATTGGGTTTATTCGCCCCCCGGCAATTCCAGAAAAGACAATTCATGAGAATGCTCTTTAAAACAAGCAGAAATGCCGGGGCAACCCGTCAAGCATCTGTCGTAGCGCCATTGAGCGCTAAAATACTTTCCGGTTCACCCATCTCAAGGTTCACCACGTCCTGAGCCACCTCACTCGCTCCATCACCTCGTTGTGCCAAACCGGGCCACTGCCTTTGCACTGGTTCAGTAACCACATCCACATTCGAAAAAGAACCACCCGCACGGCCGATATTGACATCCTCTGTTCGGAGTCGTTTCCCTGAGCTCGACATGTCCCTCCCCGACTGGACCGGTCCAAAAATTAACCCCCTCGTGGGTTTATTTCCTTTTGGGCCTTTAGTACTCGGCCCAATATTCTTTCCCCCTCGCAACCCGTTTTTCTTCTTGGACTCTCCTCCTCCTTATACACGTAATCCTTTCACCGAATAAGGAGTTTCCTTAACTTGGAACACACGTAAAGTACGTGGAATATTCCCATCTCCTTCATTCTCCTTATTCTCCTCTCTAGTTCCCATATCCTCTCTTATTCCATTCTCCACCAAATCCGCAGTTAACTCACTAAAACGATTAGAAATGGCAAGATTCCCGGAATCCGTAATATCTCCCAGCGATCCTACATTCCTTTCCTTGCTCTGCCTCAGCACCCCATCACCAACTACCACCGCCGGCTCATTTGCCATCGGTCGCCGACCTGACCTCCGCACCACTGTGAATCCATCCCTACCTTGACTCCCTCCCTGTCCTCCTAACCCCATGGAATCGTCCCCCTCTCGGGGTGAGTCCCTCGATGCTGGTGGGTTCATTTGAGTTCCCTCCCTACCAACCTCAGCTCTCGTTCGAGCGCATGAATGGACCAAGTGGCCATACATCCCACATCCAGAACATATATTGGTTAAACCTTCATACGACACATAGTATCGCTCCTCATTAACCAAAACTGTTCCTTTCAAAGGTTGTGACAAATTCACCTCCACACAAACCCGTGCGAAACGAGCTCTATCAAACTTTAACGTTTGCATGTCTTCTCGAAGTGGTTTCCCCAGGCCTTCCGCTATAATCATCAGAATAGAGCTATGATACAAGTTCATAGGAATATTCGATAGACGGATCCAAACCGGTGTTGTGACAATATCGTTACGTAGCGGATCAAAATCCGGTGACCAAGCTTGTACCATCAAGTAGCTTCCGAACATCTTCCACGGTCCACCGGTTAAAGCCGCCATGTACTCCTCTTCCAACTCAAAACGAACCACAAAAAATTGGTGCGGCAAATCCGTCACCACCATCGCACCTTGTGGTCGCCACATCTCTTTTAACTTACGACTCATCACGGCGATTGACATGCTCCTTCCCAACACTTTCACTATCATGCACTTCTTCCATAGCCCATTCATAGCCTCCATCACTTCTCGCCCCACCGTAATCACCGGCTCCCCGTTAACCCCATCCGGAAACGTTAGATTCGTATGAGACATCACAAACTCATGAGGTACAACATCCTCCGGGACCGGCATCCCACCAACAGTACTCCCCACCACCTTCTGCAACCAGACACCCCTCTTGTCTGGTGGATCCCCTGGAGGGAGACCAGCCTCCGTCATATTTGCATCCTCACCGCCGGAAACCAAAACCCTAGAATCGCCGCTCATATTTTCTCTCCTGATAGCAATCTTCTCTTCTTTTTTTTTTTCGATAATAAAAATTTTCAGCAAACCGCAAATCACTCATTAAATAATTTCTTCCGTAAAATAATTATTCAAACTACAAGGAAAATATAATTATGGGCAAAAATAATTTTACAAGATGAGTGATAAAAGTTTAAATTTTAGACATCCAATTAAAAAAAAAAAATGGTAATTGTAGTTTATTTTTATTTTATAATCCGAGGCCGAATATAACAAATCGGAATTTGTGGGGGCTTAAAACAGAAATTATCAAAAATGCCATTTGTATAATTCACACGATCATCGGAATGAAAAAGAACCGCCGGAGGTGACGATGTCGATGATCAGGTCAACGGCGACGATGTCGGAATTGCTAACACCTACGCTGAAATCCTCCAGAGGGTATTTCAATGCTCATGGTAAATTTGGCGTTTCCGTCTCTCAATTTAGTCGGAGGAGATTTCTCAATCCGAGCAGAGTCTTCGCCGTTTCAGATATCAGTAAGCTCGTAACGGAGTTCGATCCGAATATTCCGTTGGAGAGAGCATCTACTCCGCCGAGCTCGTGGTATACTGATCCTCAATTCTACAGTTTCGAGCTCGATCGGGTCTTCTATGGAGGATGGCAAGCCGTTGGTTAGGATAAATTTCACACTCACTTAGTGTTAACTGTTTCTCTAAAGTTCTTACTTCGCCATTGCATTTCCTCAGGATACTCTGATCAAATTAAGGAGAGTCGTGACTTTTTCACCGGGAAGTAAGTAAACGTTTACATTCAGATTGTTCTATGTCTTGTTCAATATGTATGAGAATTTTGTAAGAAAGACAGAAACATTGGTGCAGGCTTGGGGATGTAGAGTTTGTGGTGTGCAGAGATGATAATGGAAAGATTCATGCTTTCCATAATGTATGTTCTCACCATGCTTCTATCTTGGCTTCTGGAAATGGGAAAAAGTCTTGTTTTGTCTGCCCTTATCATGTAAGCTCCTCTATGTGCTTGATTCTTGAAGCGGTAACTCTACTGATTATGCGGTGAATGACTACGGTTTTTGAGTCGTATTATTTGTGGCAGGGATGGACGTATAGCTTGAGTGGATCGCTTGTCAAAGCTACTAGAATGACTGGGATAGAGAACTTTGCGTTAAATGTATGACATGTCGTTTAGATAAGCATTGTGGTCTCTCACTCTTTTTAAACGGAAGAGTTTGAATTTTCGTACTTGACTGTTTGAGGAAATAGGAAATGGGACTCAAACCTCTAAGAGTGGCTGTCTGGGGACCTTTTGTTCTCCTCAAAGTAACTCAAGCCACATCGAGGATGGGAGAAGATGAGAGTGATGCATTAGTGGCATCAGAATGGCTCGGGACTTCTGTGGGAAGGTTGAGCGAAGGTGGAGTTGTTTCCCCACTTAGTTTCATATGCAGACGCGAATATACCATGGATTGTAATTGGAAGGTAAAATTTTGTTCTGACTATATACACTTTTAAACAACAAAACTACAGAAATTGATGATGGGTCACTGAAAACTTTTTCAGGTGTTCTGTGATAACTTCTTAGATGGTGGATATCATGTACCATATGCACATAAAGGTTTGATGTCGGGACTCAATCTCGAAACCTATTCTACAACGGTATATTCTTTTTGCTAAATGCGAGCTACTTTCAGACTCGGACTTCCAACACATGATTCTTTTCTCTAGTTAGTTAGTTTGTGATGGACTTACTGTTTTAAGATATCAGATATTCGAAAGGGTTAGTATCCAAGAATGTGGAGGTGGTTCCAAGGCTGGCGAAGATGGTTTTAATAGGCTTGGATCTCAAGCTCTATATGCTTTTGTCTACCCAAATTTCATGATAAATAGGTAAAATACTTCAATTCCATTGCTTAGCTCATCTTCCAATGACTTTACTCACTCACATGGATTATGTTTTATAGGTATGGACCTTGGATGGACACAAATCTAGTAGTACCATTAGGACCAAGGAGATGCAAGGTCATCTTTGACTATTTTCTTGATCCTTCTTTAAAGGTAAAACAATTAACAACATAACCTATATTTCTCAGCCCTGTATAGCAACCTTTGAAATATTTTTTTTGGTTTTAAGGATGATGAAGCCTTTATCAAGAGAAGTTTGGAAGAAAGTGATAAAGTTCAGGTATGAGAATGAATTACTAGCATTACACCGAGAATCAGTTTACGAAATGTGTAAGGAGATTTGAGTTGATGAAATGTTTTAAGTTTTATTGTATCAGATGGAAGATGGTGTGTTGTGTGAGAGTGTTCAAAGGGGTCTCGAATCTCAGGCCTATGAGAAAGGAAGATATGCTCTTGTGGAGAAGCCAATGCACCACTTCCATTGTTTGCTACATCAGAATCTGAAACTTTGAAACTCTAGTCTGAAGATACTGTTCTTGTAGCATATATGTATATATGTATTTATGTCTAGACTTTGAGCATTTAAGGATTAAGTTAACAGACTTAACAACAACGAAACAAAAATATATATATATATATATATATTTCATTTGATTAATAAAAACGAAGAAGCCGTTTGCAAAAATACTGAGACCGAGAGAGTTAAGTATTCACAAGTTGGATACCACTAAAGCCACCTTTGGTATTTAACTGTTTTTTCTTTTCAAACTAATTATTAACCTGAAAATCAACAGAAAAAAACGTAAAACAAAGCTTTTAGAAGCGTTTAATGGCTTGGCTATAGCGAAGATGAGGTAACTACTTCAACTACCTGACGTGTTCCTTCTCCACCGGTTTATTCTAAAGTATTGGCTGACCGGAGTTTCTGGAACTGGTATCAATTTTCCGATTACCGCCAAAGGCCAACTGGTTATATAACATTAAACAGAGTAAGTCTATGGAGAAAGCATCTACTAATTCTTGTTTTCACCTAAACAAAACTCTTTGATGACAAAGTTAACAAACGAACCTGATGGAACCGATTCCAATCGAGACGAGCCACATCTCCCAATCAAGTTTAGTCGTTGACGCAAATGTTCCAAGGAACTCGACGATGACTACCTATTAAAACAGTAAACATCAAGTGTTAAGCAGTATGTCTATTTCTCAGATGTACAATAACAGTGACTTGGAGGAACAGAAGAGGATGAATGACTACCTGGAGCACAATGGTGATACAGATGATGCCTACAAAAAGGTGATTCCCGAGAACTCCGCGGAATATGTTTAATTCATCTGGCTTCCGTGCGTTGAACTCGTTGAAGATCTAACAAATTTAGACAACATTGGTTTGTTTTGTGCTGTGCCCAAGCTTTCTTTTAATTATACAGAGGACTCGATATCTTTTACCTGGCAGATGACAAAAGCATTGAAGATGACGGTATTCTTCACTTTCTCTGCATTTTGATGACTCTTGAGATGAAGGATACTTATTCCTTCGAAATTGAGGATTAACAAGACTGTCACTTGGTACATTGCCTAATGATATGCAAAACAATTAGAGAACCCGGAAAGGCTTAACCATTGTGATTTTGGAGAACTGAAGTAAAAAGAAGAAGATAACTTACTTGTATAAACAAATTTCTCCACATGATATTTGTGATGAGAGGTTCTCTGAAAGCAAAAGATAAATATAATTATGTGCAAATTGAAGGAGAACTGAGATCACCATAAATTTGAACAAGACTTAACATGCATGCTCAAGTCAAATAGGAGGTACCTTCTGCCAACAGGGGACCGATCCATTAAGTGGTCGGTTGGTGGTTCAGTGGCTAAAGCAAGAGCACCAAGAGTATCCATTATAAGATTGACCCAGAGGAGCTACAAAGATAAGGGAAAAGACTCTCTTACCGACTTGGAAATATTTGTATTGAAGTGTATAATTTTGTACGGATGACAAAGAAGTAGATAAATATTTATAATATCGAACCTGTACTGCAGTTAGAGGAACATCACCCGCGGATATGGCAGCCACAACATTGATGACAAGAGCTGCGACATTCACTGTGAGCTGAAACTGGATGAACTTTTGAATATTGGCATACACAGATCGACCCCAACGGACAACCTATAGGAATCAGATTACTTAAATGGATATCGTATTCAGGATAGTTTAAAACATCACAAATACCCCCAAAGGAGAACATTTGAAATTTCTGAGGAAAAGTATTTGAGTTACAAATTCCAAAAGTATTATGCCACCGTGAAGTATCAAAATGAAGCTTCTTTTATTAGAAATTTTAATCTCTTTGTTTCTATACCAACCTTCACAACGGATTCAAAGTTGTCATCCAAGATAATGATGTCTGACTTTTCCTTTGCAACTTCGGTGCCTTGAATACCCATAGAGAGACCTATATCTGCCTGAAATTCAGGGAGAAAACAGAAAATGTGATCCTCAATATCAACAGTGGTTTTAAAAGGTCACATATATGAGGTCTACATAAATATACTGAACCTCGTGCAGTGCAGGAGCATCATTGGTTCCATCACCAGTCACAGCCACGACATGTCCCCTTCTCTTCAATGATTGTACAAGAAGAAGTTTGTCATTGGGCGATGATCTACCCATTACCTTCAAGTTTATCAACGATGTCAGATACTGTTAAATAACTGCCTTCAATCTTAAACCTAAATCGTAAGGCTCTTACAGATATCTGTTCACAAATCCTATCTCTTTCTTCTTCTGAAAAGGATCGAAATACTTTTCCTTCAATCAGATTAGGCTCACTAGCATCTGAGTCTGAAGCTAATATACCGCATTCCAATGCAATTGCTTTGGCAGTCTGAATGTTATCACCAGTAACCATACGAACCTGAGGCCAATAATGGAAATTAGAAGCCTATACGCCCATGAAGAACGGAGTAGTCTAGAAAATATACAGAGAGAACCCCCCCCAGGGGAAGAATCAAATGAGACATTTACGTACCTTGACTCCAGCTTGTTGACATAGTAAAACTGAATTTTTGACACCTGGGCGACATGGATCCTACAATGTATTGGCAGATAAAAAAAAACTTCAATGAATGGCCATCTCGTATACAGAACCACATTAAGGGAGATCACCAGACTCTTCAAAAAAGACAATGTGTTCTAGGGATAAGTTATGTTACCTTAATACCAACGATAGCCAACAATACAAGGTCATCCTCGGGTAATACCCATCTAGAAAGTTGCTCATCATCTGTTGGAAGCTTGTCAACTTCAAATTTTCTGAAGGCAATTGCAACACAACGCAGACTCCTTGCAGCCATATCATTGATAGCATCTATTAGCCCAGCCATCTGAAACAAAAAGACTTTATTCAGAAAAAAAAAACATGTATTTCTATCAAGACTGTCATTACCAAATCTGGCACTGATTTGGGATAAAAAAACGTTTGATACCGTAGAAATAATAGTAAAACCGGACTTGGACTTGCAGTAAGAAAACGGTCTTGAGTCAAGACACAATGATAAGTTAAACTTTTAATACAAATTATATCATGAAAGAGAAACATAATACCGACCTTATCTTCACTCATATCTACAAAACTCTCATTCTCATCCATATAATGTGTGCAGGAACCCAAAACAATTTCGGCAGCACCTTTCCAGTGCACATGGACACTCAAATCTGACTGAAAATAAATTAGAAGTTTGTTAGGATGCTAATTGACAAGTGGAAACAACCATAAGTAAAACAATGTTAAGAAAATGAATAAAGAAAACGTTACTGATTTCACTGCTACGCCTCCCCGTTTCTTCTCTGAATTGAATGGAAAAAATTGTACAGCAGAAGACTCAGACTTAAGAGCATCGAAATCCATACCCAACTGCATAGCTTATAAAAACAAAAAATATTAGTTCTCCTCACCGCTATGATACTGGAACCAGAAAATGTAGCTGAAAAATAAACCTTTATTGCCCAATTAAGAATTGCTCTTTCTGTCGGGGATCCAGAAACCTGAATCTCACCACTCTGTCATCAGCAAACACATACACATTATTACATTAAATCAGCAGAGTAGACACCAAACGGGATCAGTAAAGTTTCATAGAATTTTAATCCTACTTCAGATCGGAAGACACTGCCGGTTGTATTATGAGCAATTCCCTCAACAAGGATGGATGTAAAAGCAGATGGCAATTTTGCGCTGCTGTCCGGAGTATCCATCTTTTGGAACCCAGTATAACACTCAACAACAGTCATCTGAGAAATGAGAAAGTATTAGGGGATTCGCTGGCCGCGCACAATTCAAAATAACAAAAGCTCACAGCTAGGAAAGGCCGTGCTAAATGTTAGGTTGTTAGCAATAGCATGTACAAAAAGAAGTGGCACTGAGACTCACCTCGTTTAAGGTCAAAGTGCCAGTCTTATCACTGCAAATTGTTGTTGCAGACCCCATAGTCTCACAAGCAGAAAGCCTGCGCACCTGAAATGAAAATTCATTTTTAAGTTGCAAACATCATTCACATAAAGAAATTTTGAATTCAGTTTCAAAAAAAAAAGTTTAGACCCAAAAAAAAAAGTATACGTACCAAAGCTTTATCTGCCATCATTTTTCTCATGGAATATGCAAGACTGCCAGTAAGAAGTATAAAAGATCAGTGAGGAAAAGACAATTTAATTTTACTGCAGATCCATCAACATCTTTAAACTTTGACCACATTATAACTAAATCCTATCCAACTCTAAAAGCCAAAGTAATTCCTGTTATTAAATTATGTATATAGTAGACTTACGTCAAGGTAACAGCCAACGGAAGCCCTTCAGGGACTGCCACTACAACAATTGTAACCTACAATACACGACAAGTTGAGCAGAACGGCCAGAGATGTGAATAAGTAGCTGACAACCGTAATAGCCATGCTAATTTCTTCTAAAGAAACACTTACTGCAACAGTGAAGATTTCAACAAGATCATCTAGCACATGATCAAATTTAGTCTTCCCTCCAATAAATTGTGGGGCTCCCTTTTCATTCTTTGTGTGACCGGTAAAGTAGCTGCAGATAACAAAGAGTTGTTCAATAACTACTGACATTCACTCCACTCAGAACTTAGTAGTCAGAACGAAATTTAAACGCACCGGACGACTAGGACAAATAATACAACGCCAGCAACTGTGAGCCCCACAATCCCGATAAATGTTGCAACACCATTCAAGCGCACCTGAAGAAACCAAAGTACGGATAAATATTGAGCAACAAATACCACAAAAATATGAGCAGAGAAAAGTTGATAGTTACCTGCAGTGGTGTTTCTCCACCATTGTCTTCTGAGACGCTAGCCATTAGTAAGCCCCATTCAGTGTTGACCCCTACCCCAGTAACCTGAAAAAAAAAAAAAAATTAGAATTGGATAATAAAAAATTCGGCAGAAAGTAGCCTAATCAGATGTCTTCACGCCATAAATAAAAACATATTTTGCTGCAACAATAAACCAACCACAGATATATTTGTTCACCAATTATCTCACATTTTCTCTCCAGAAAGACTACAGTTAATAGTTTGTTTGAGCCACTATGTAACAG